ACGAACTTAACCTGCCTACTGGAAAAATAAACATGTGTGCAAAATTTTAGCCATCTATCTAAATTCATTCGAAAGATAGCGTGATTACATCAGACAGACGGACAGACAGACGGACGGACAGACAGACAAACGAACAGACAGACAGACAGACGGACGGACATCGCTAAATCGACTTAGAATTTTACGCTGATAAAGAATATATATACTTTGTTGGGTCTGACATGAGTATTTCGAGGAGTTACAAACGGAATGACAAAGTTAATATACCCTCCATAGTATGGTCATTCCTAAGCCACTCGTCCGACGGGTGTTAACATGTTTCCAGTGACAGCTCATTATATTGTCTAAAAGCGTACAAAAGCATTTTGGTGAGAATTTTCCAGAAAAATAGTTGTTCGTGATGGAATTCAAGCGCGATAGTGTGACTTCTTTATATTTGGCTGGAAAACCAAAAATCGCTATCTTAGGAAGACTCCAGCATTTAAATGTGAATAAATTTTTTTGGGTCTCGTGATACTGATAGCGTAGCCCGATGTCAAGAAAGTGGACAGAAGAAAACAGCAACATCAGCAGAAATGATTCGAAAAGTAAACCCGCGTCGCAGTGGCCGAAAAAAAAAAAACAAAATAATCGTATTTACTTGCCAAGCTGAAAATGTGCACCTTCGGTTGGCCACCAGAACTCAAGCGCCGGCCATGGTGATGGTATGGGCCGCCATAACAGCCGATGGTTGCTCTCCGTTCGAATCCAAATATTACAGCGAAAATATTCTGGAGGGTGTATTAAAGCCTTGGGCACGCAAATATTTTGGCCGCAGAACTTGGACATTGCACCAGGCTTCAGCACCATCACACTCAACACGCGCCACCCTAGAACGGTTACAAAATGAGGTTCCTCGCTTCATTTCCAGCCCATACTGGCCACCAAATCTCCGGATATCAATCCGTTGGACTATTGTGTCTGCAGTATTTTGGAAAGCAAGGTTGCCACAAAAAAAATACCAAAGTGTCGATCAACTCAAGCTAGCGCTTTGCCGGGAATGGGCCAAAATACCGCACAGCAATATTCGGGCAGCGTGTAACGGCTTCATTGGCCGTTTGAAGGCCATAATTTGTGCCAAAGGTGACCAATTCGACCAAATCTACCCTCTTTTTAAAATTTGATTCTATTTCCGACATTTTTTGTCTTCATTCAATAAAATTTTTTAAAAAAATTTAAAAATTATGGCGTTTGATAATGTTGCAGTTTTTTTGTCTCACCCTATATATCTCCACCTACTTTTTAACAAATCTATATAATTTTAAAGATATTCATTCTACCTTATACAGGGATAGAATTTACACATGTAAATAAGTTCATATGCGATACGATAAACAATTCTGATCATCATTCTCCTGCAAAGGTTTCTTACTCGTTTCTTACCAGAATACCTCCCTACTTCATGCTCATATTAGGTGACAATAAATTCTGCCTAATTTCTTTGAGATGTACAGATACCACGACGAAAAATTTGATAGAAAAATAGAGTAAGATTTGCTAACTCAGAAAAACCCATCACAAAAGGCACCCCATATATTCCTCTCAGTGCATGAAAAAAATTGCTCAATCATATTTTGTAAGAAAAAAAAGGTGAACAGAAATATGGGTGTACCCGGAATTTATGGGAGGATGTGGTGGTCAATTGTTTTCTGCCAAATGCAATGATGCATGTATGACACACACACACACACACACACGATTGCAAATGCATTGCAGAAAAGACGTCAAAATAGGAAAACCCATCAACAAACTGTATGATGTTCGGAAGTCAAAATGTCAGCATATTAATCATGTATTCGAATAACGAAAAAAAAATCTATGCCGACAATGCTGGGTGTGCAATTTTTGCATCAACAATTATGTGTGAGTGTGCGTCTGCGAGTCTTGGACATATCCATAAACAAATAGTCGATTACTTTGGCTATTGCAAATTGGAAAACTATTACAAGTTTAGCAAGCGGTTATTGGCATAATCCATTGTTGTTTCCTTACATAGTTTGATTGATCAATAGCCATATGCAAGTACTTGAGGTTGTGACCATAATAGGTAATGGTGGGAGTGGATACCTTCATGAGATTAGTTTAACCAGTAAAAGGAATAAGTAAGAGGGTGTCATAAGTTAGATTATCGGCAGATGATGTTATGTTATGATTATTCAAATTGTTGACCCTCTGTGGGCCAATATTGTCGGACCTAAAAAAATAGTATATAAATATTACGACGTGCCAGGTTTGGGCTAAATCGTCTACTTCCTTCACTTCATATGATATATGTGATAATTTTTAGAAAATCTTAAAATGTGCGTGAGTTGCCAGATTTGATCGACGGAAGTATTCCATCTTCATTCTTCATCCAATACAAAATTACAAGAAAATCGAACATTTATATCCAATTTTATGCGAAATCATAAATTCCATATTCATCTCAGGTTTCTGGTTGAGAGAAATGCTTAGATATAGCAAGTTGTGAATAATCGTTGAATTGTTTCGCTATAATAGCAGATAGGTGCCAGAAGGGGTTCGCCGATATGTATCATCTTCACAACAGATCTTGTGTTAGTACCAGAAGAAATGGTCCATCTCTACCATCTTTATAACAGATCTTGTGTTAATAGAAATATTGAGATGTACCAAGTCTGTATGGAATCGGATGTTATTTTCGTGTTTTATGAGCTTAATGGATATTCAAAATTTTGACCCCTTATGGGTGAGGTAGCAGAAGGAGTGGACCGATATATTCCAGGTCCTCTATGGACAATAGAAGACCTTCAGGTCCTCTATGAACAATAGAAGACCTTCCGGTCTTCTATGGACAGTAGAGGACCTTCAGGTTCCCTATTGACAATAGAAGACCTCCGAGTCTTCTACGGACAATTCCAAACCTACGAATAATAGAAGACCTCCAGGTCCTCTATGGGCCATCGAAGACCTCCAGGTCCTCCATGGGCCATCGAAGACCTCCAGGTCCTTCATGGTTCATAGAAGACCTCCTCTATGGACAATAGAAGACCTTCAGGTCCTCTGTGGGCAATAGAAGACCTTTGGGGGCTCTATGGACAATAGAAGAACTTCAGGTTCTCTATGGACAATAGAAGACCTTCGGGTCCTCTATGGACAATAGAATATCTCCAGGTCCTCTATGGGCAATAGAAGACCTCCAGGTCCCGTATGGACAATAGAAGACCTCCAGGACCTCTGAAACAAATATAAGACTTCCAGGTCCTTTATGGACAATAGGAGATCTCCCGCTCTTTTTTGGAAATAGAAAACCTTGCGGTCCTCTATGGAAAATGAAAGACCTCCAGGTCTCCTACGGAATAGAAAACCTCAGAAGCTTCTATAGATAATTTAGAGGATTTTGAAGATATCTGTGGACAATATAAGACCTTCAAGTCCTCTATGGTCAATAGAAGACCTCCAGGTTATCTACGGGCAATAGAAGACCTCCAGCTCCCGTATGGACAATAGAAGACATCCAGGTCCTCTATGAACAATAGAACCCTTCGAGTCCTCTGAGGAAAATAGAAGACTTCCAGGTCGTCTGTGGACAATAGGAGATCTCCCGCTTTTTTGTGGAAATAGAAAACCTCCCGATCCTCTATGGAAAATAAAAGAACTCCAGCTCTTCTATGCACAATAGAAAACCTCCGAAGCTTCTATAGATAATTAAGATGATTTGGAAGATATTGAAGTCATATATTTTATAAAGAAGACCTCTTAGCTCTCTGTGAACAATACGTGGTATAACATGGAGATTAAAGCAGAGAAATGGCAATTAGAAAAACAAGTTAAAAAGCAGTAAGTTCGGCCGGGCCGAACTTTGAATACCCTCCACCAGTTGTAACGAATTTGGAAATTAAAAAAAAAATCCTTAAAAAATTCTATTAAACTTTTAAAAATACCAAATATAACCTTTATACTGGGCTCTATAGGACGTGGACCTACATAGGCATTGTTTGTCATAAGCCATTACCATATTCAAATTCGAAACTTGAAATAAACTGCGAATAATGTAGCTAAAATCAGCAAAATATCGTATATAGGGAGGTATCGTTATATCGTAGCTGTGCGAAGACCTGGACCAGCATAGACAATTTTCTGTCACAGGCTATAGCATCCATTACGAACGTCAAATACGACATCGCAAACAATTTCGATGGGTATTGTACCTAAACTTGTCAAAATATTGAATATAGAGGGGTACTGATATATGGGGCTTATACGAATACCTAGACCTGCATAGACAGTTTTCTGTCACGGATTGTAGTTCCCATTACGAACTTCAAATACCATAGTTAAAACAATTCCGGTGAATAATGTCGCTAAAATCATCAAAATACCGAATATAGGGAGGTACAGTTATATGGGGGCTATATGAAAACATGGACTTACATGGCCCATTTAGGAACTTAACCCGCCTACAGGAAAAATAAGCACGTGTGCAAAATGTTAGCCTTCTATCTCAATTCGTTCGAAAGATATCGTGATTACAACTTACAGACGGAGAGACAGACAGACGGACATGGCTAAATCGACTTAGAATTTTACGCTGATCATGAATATATATACTTTGTTGGGTCTGACATGAGTATTTCGAGGAGTTACAAACGGAATGGCAAAGTTAATATACCCTCCATTACAATGGATATAATAAAACATTGTAATGCAGAACAGTTACAATAACCACATTGTAGTATCCGCCTCATTGTAGCAGCCCCACATTAATTGGGAATTCTTAATTATTCTCTCTCTCTCTCTCTTATTATTCGAAAAATAAAAGCATTTCTCCCAACTCAAATCAAGAGACACAAACTCAACAATAGCTAGCATTAGCACGTTTGTGTCTTAAGTCTTTTGTTTACCAGGGCACATACTCTAGTTCTACACGCCGCAATAACAATTACCATATTTGGCATTTTTAATTAACAATAAATTCTCAGCGGCATATTTGTCGTACTTACCAGAAATCGTTGACATTGTGCGATTATGATTGCCACGAACCAATTCGGATGGCCGGAGACTTGGTTCCTCAACAACTTCTAGACCAGAATCCGAATCCATGCCACCGTTTTCCATATGAATGTTGGTATTTGAACCACCATGACATGAATTCGAGGAGTTGGAGTAGTCTGAATTATTTTTGCCATGTTGATAGTGTTGTTGCTGCGATTGGTACTGCTGCTGCTGCTGTTGTTGATGATGGCCGTATTGTCCCGAGGAATTTACTGTCGAACGCAGTGGTGGTGGTAATGGTGGTGGAGGTGGACCAGTTGCTGGAGAAAATAAAACGAAAAGTGAATGAGTTTCTCAAAACAAAAAAACAAATACTTCAATTTCCTCTCTCAGTTCCAAAAGCAAACAAAAAAAAAGGAAAGAAACAAATGTTTGGTCTACTTTAAAATGCCTTTCTTCATTTTTCCGTTTTTTTTTCGTTGGAGCAGAGATATGGAAATCTTTGACCCACTTACCAATTTCTGTATTTTGAATTGGCGGTGCCGACGAAACTCGTTTTAAAATGCGATTATTTTGATTGTTGTTGCCATTGTTATTGTTGTTGCTGTTAGAATTATTGCTGTTTATACTATTGCTGCTGTTGTACAGATTCTGATTGCTGCTGTTATTTACATTGCCCCCAGAGTTCTGTGTTGCTGCCGCTTGGTTGGAGCTATTGTTGTTCATCGATGACAACTTGCTCTGACTGCCATAATGCTGTAGCATTCCACCGCTGCTGTGATCCAGATTATTTCGTATCACCGAATTCTTGTTCGTCTGCCTGGTGCGTTCTACAACATCTTCGGGCGGACACACACTCTCGTAGGTATCGCTTTTGATGCCTCCACTGCTGCTGTTCAAATGATTTTTCAAATTCACATTTTTACTGCCATAACTGTCTTTCGAACGAATCGAAGAATTGTCGTATTTGCCATGCAGACCAATGATCGATTGGGATTTATTGCGATTTAAGATGCTGTTGTTGTCACGTTTGTTATTGAGATTCTGGAAAGTGGAAAGAATTATTAATTAAATGAGAAATTCCTTAGAAGTTCAGATATAAAATGGGAATATTGGGTTATGCAAAGTAAGAAACTAATTCTGAAATTTGGAATTAGAATAATTGAGTGTTGAATAGATGTAAGAAAGGCTTTTTCGACATTCAAACTTTAAGGCTACGAAAGGTTCTAAAATGGTACTAAACTTCTAAAATGTAACCATTTGGACATTAAAACTTTAAGGCTACGAATGGTTCTAAAATTGTTGTATAACTGTACCGCCCGATATTGGTTATTGTCTTAAAATCCACACAAGTAGTTCCTTGTGAGTACTTTACCCCCTGAAAGAGAATTGTCTATACAGGTCCACGATATCGTATATCCCCCATATAACGGTACCCCCCGACATTCGGTATTTTTATGATTTTACCCACATTTTTTATCTTAATTGTATGAAAATCCACACAAGGAGTTCCTTGTGGGTACTTTATACCTCGACGGAGAATTATCTATATAGGTCCACAATATCGTATAGCCCTTATATAACGGTACCCCCGATATTCGGTATTTTGGTGTTTTAGCCATATTTTTCAACGGAATGGTCACAAGGGGTTCTTTGTACACAAGGGGTTCTTTGTACACAAGGGGTTCTTTGTGAGCACTTTACCCCCCGACATAGAATTCTCTATATAGGTTAACGATAACGTATAGCCCCCATATAACGGTACCCCGCGATATTCGGTATTTTGATGATTTTAGGCACATTTTCCAATCGTATTGTCTGAAAATCCACACACGGAGTTCTTTGTGAGCACTTTACTCTTGAAACGGAATTGTCTATATAGGTCCACAATATCGTATATCACCCATATAACGATACTCCCCTATATTCGGTATTTTGATGATTTTACCCACATTATTCAACGGAATTGTCTGATAATCCACACAAGGAGTTTTTGTGAGTATTTTACTCCCTGAAAAAGAGTTGTCTGTATAGGTCCACGATATCGTATATCCCCCACATAACGGTACCCTCTGATATTCGGTATTTTGATGATTTCAGCCACATTTTTCAACGGAATTGTCTGAAATTCCACACAAGGGGTTCTTTGTGAGCACTTAGGGGGTAAAGTGAGTTCTCTATATAGGTTAACGATATCGTATAGCCCCCATATAACGGTAACCCCGATATTCGGGATTTTGATGATTTTAGCCACATTTCCCAATGGAATTATCTGAAAATTCACACAAGGAGTTCCTTGTGAGTACTTTACCCCCAGACATAGATTTGTCTATATAGGTCCACAATAGCGTATATCCCCCATATATCGGCACCTTCCGATATCAGGTATTTTAAAGATTTTAACAGAATTTTCAATGGATTTTATTTTTTTGAATATTTTCTAATTCGTTCCAAATGGTGGAGGGTATTCAAAGTTCGGCCCGGCCGAACTTACTGCTTTTTTACTTGTTGGGTCTAAAATTATTACTTCGATGACGGAATGACGAACTTAATATACCCTCCATACTATGTATGGTGGAGGGTATAAAAATACTATAGTTGGTATAGGGTGAAGGAATAGAGCTGAAATCGTGAAATTTGTATAGATGTCACTGTTGGTGTCTGCGGTTAAGATATGGAGGTGGTGTTGGAAATGTATACTTGATTTGTTCGAAAAATATTAAGCACTAAATTCTGTATTCTGTGAAGGGATGGAGCTGGAATGCCGATGTAGATTGTTTTAGATATGCGTACTAAATGTTATTAAATTTAGTATCGGTTAAAGGGATAGAGCTAAAATTTGATATTGAGGTCGCTATTTGGTTTGTAGGGTTTACATATGTAGACGATTTGAACAGAACATTTTTTCAGATGTGGGTCCATTATGCAAAATTTGCACACTTTTTGGTATGAAAGGTAAATATTTTCCTATTATTTTTTCCGAAAAAGGAAACAGCTTGAATAATATAATAAAAATTTAAAGTGGACTTTTTGCAGATGAAATTGCGGACACTTGCTAGTATCGAACTAAATTTTAAGAAGATGACCAACTTTGGAGTGGAATGTATTTCCACTTAATTTACGTCTAGTTAAGCTGTAAAAAGAAGTTGATCCCTATCATTAGCCTTCATGTAATATTTATGGGAATTGAAAATCATTTCTTATTCTATCAGAGTTGCGCGAATTTCCAATTTTGGCCCTTTGAGGAAGAGTTAACAAAAGCATTCCTAAAACTCATCCATCATCCATTTTTGTCTGGGGTGTATATTACGACATTCTTTTTTCAACCAAATAGGTTTTCCATGATATTTTCGAGAAATTGTACGTACTAGAAAGAGTGAATTGATATGGCCAATCTTAATACCTCGACTGTAAATGCCTGAAACCGGCATCGGATTTGGCAATATCAAATAATTTATAATTTCTGTAGCCACAAGAAATAGGGTGTACAAATTAGACATCCGAATGCATAACGTTTGGGAACAAAAGCATTTTCTATCTAATTATATTTATGGCCTCTATTCTAGTCTTCGAACTCATTTATAAAGAAATATCTTCTTCTTATTCTTCAAATCAAACATAATTAAAATACAGGTTTTGGAAGCGGTCTAGGATTCAGTCAGAAGACACTTTATTTTCTTAAAGCTTCGAAAAAAAAAACAAAATGAAAGAAAAAATTCACAAAAAAATTCTCGAGCTGGTTAAGTTTCAAATGGGGTTTCGCCTAAAAGTATGCTTATAACTTTAACATCGTTTTGCTACTCTACGCATGGAAAGCAATGGGTAAGGTATATTATTTACAAAGGCTGGATTCTGTGAAATGAAAACCAGTAAGGAAAAGTCCAAATTCGGGCGGGGCCGACCATATGGTAGCCTACACCACTATGCATATTTAGTAGAGCTCCCGTAACAAAAGAATTTATTTCAAGTAGATCATACCACCTATTAACATTTGGCTTTAGGGCAGTTATAGTTTAATATAGATTGCATGATATCACTTCGAGAAGGATTATAGTAAAAAAATATATATCGGAGCCAAGTTGCAAAAAATGGAAACGCATGACCCAAAATTCACTCCATTTGGGCTGATATTAGCCATTATTTGCACAGTAAACCTGAAATCGTATTAAGGATATATATGGGAGCTATATCCAAATCTAAGTTATTCAACCGATCCTGACAAAATTTGACACACTTATTTCAGAGCTGTATCTGATATCTGGTACCACTCATCATTATTGTGGAATGTATATTACGCTTGTGAGACACTTTGAAACTCAAATCGGATAAAACATATATATGGGAGTTATAGCTATATCTGAACCGATTTACACCAAATTTGAAGTACTAGTTTACAGGATGAGTTCAGTCGTGATTGCCAAAATTCAGTCCATTTGAGTTGACATTTGCCATTTGGTGCACAATAATAAATAATTTTAATTCCAACAGGTAAATAAGCTGTTAAGCTCGGCCAGGTCATTTTTTAAATGTGTCTATATAAACTATTAGGAACTTGCCATATTAAATTTTGGGGTCTACCACTATATGTGACTATGCGAAAGGTATATAGAAAGTTTTTTTTCCAGATTAAGAATGTTTCCAAACTGTCGATTCAGAGTAAGTTCGGTTGCAAAATATATATAAAATCTCGTACACCTTTAGTCTGGAGGAACTTTTCCACCAAAAACGTGGACCGAAAATTCGACGAACCTAATACATATTTGAGTAAATTTTTTATTAATCTTCTTCATTATTTTTGAAAGGTGTAGTGGCTGAACAAGAATACATAAACTCAGACCCCTTGGTCTAAAATTTTCATCCGAAGGAATTAAAAACGGAATGACAAACCTAATATATAAATAAAGCCAATTTTATTTGCTTATTGAAATTCTCAGAAGGTTATTTTGTCAGGCAGGTTGAATCTGTCCATTATTTAATACTTTTTGTTCTAATTTCTCCAAACTCAAACTTGTCGCAAGCCTCTATACAGTAGTTATCTACATTAGAATTTTCATGGTGCCACTTCTTCGAGTACATACTTTAGACATACAAAGCACAATTTTAGTACTTTTTTCATTAAACATTCCCTAGTACTCTTTAGGCACAATTTTCCATTCACGCTATCGTTTTCGACAAAAATTGGGCCTCATGTGGTATCTCAGAATGGTCGCTACAGCTTTTCTTACTTTTAATATGTTCTCTAAAGAAAGATACATTTTAGCATTTCATGGACGACTTTAATCGAAACGTCGAAAACGCCTTCTTTTCTAATGGCTCGCATCAACAGAGACCCACCTAACAAAATTCTAGCTATAAAACCAGTAAAGAAATTTTTAAAGTGTGGTGGGGCCGACTTTATGATACCCTACACCACTTTCCATATTTAGTAGAACTTCACATAACAAATATAAGTTTTAATGGAGAATTTGTGAGAATTAAATCATACCAACTATGATTATAGCAATACTGAAAAGTCCAAAGAAACTAATACATGGGAGAAATATCCTCCTCCGAATCGATTTCTACTAAATTTGTCGAGGCATTTGCACCTTTTCAAATCGGGCTTGTATTATCCATTTGGTGCACAATTAACAATTAACTTGAAATTGAGAGCTATATATATAAATCTGAACCGATCTCGATAAAATTTGGCAAATGTATTTCTGAGCTGTATTTGATATATTTCCCCGAATATCGTTACTACGGAGTCCATATTACGGCTTTGCAGGGCAAATTCAACAAATCGGATGAACAATATGTATGGGAGCTATAGCTATATCCGAACCGATTTCGACCAAATTTGATATACTGGTTTCTAGACTCAATCAAGTACCAAATTCTATTTCATTTGGGCTAATATTACAGGTTTGGTGCACAATAAAAGGCAAATCGGACGAAGATATATATGGGAGCTATATCCAAATATTAACCGATCTCGATAAAATTTGACAAAGGTATTTCTGAGCTGCATTTGATATTTTCCCCAAATATTGTTGTTACAGAGTGCATATTACGGCTGCGGAGGACAAAAATAACAAATCGGATGAACAATATATATGGGAGCTATAGCTATATCTGAACCGATTTCCATCAAATTTGGCATACTTTTTTTCAGGCCTAAGTTGGTTGTATGTGCAAAATTCCATATTATTCGGGCTGATGTTACACGTTTGGTGCACAATAAAAGGCAAATCGGACGAAGATATATATGGGAGCTATACTATTGATTAGAGCTATTGATAGATTATCTCCAATTTCAATAGGGTTCGTCCTTGGGTCAAACAAATTATTTGTGCAAAATTTCATTTGAATTTGACCTGTACTTTGTTTACAAAAATACATAGATCATTAAAAGGAACTATTAGTCTATCTCGTTTCCTTTGGCCTATTACAAACAAATGCATAAAGACATAATACCCTGACCACCTTGTGGTGTAGGGTATAATTACAAAAATATGTTTTAGGTGTTGGTACTTTAGTACGAATTTCAAAATCCCTCAAAAAAAACCTTTGAAAAAGTTCCAAATTTCAAAAAAAAAAAAAAATACCTCTACCATTTTGAAGAAATCTGTCGCAATATATCGCTCAAAGGAAGACGTGGTCCATTTTTGTAATAGGCTGTAGGACTTATTACGATATGTAAATACGAAATTTTAAACAATTCCGGTAAAAAAATGCCGCTAAAAACACAAAATATCGATGGGTGCCGTTTTATTGGAGCTATATGATATCGTGTACCTATATAAACAATTCTCTTCCAAATTAACTCCTTCCTCCTAACTCCAATTCCCTTGAAAAACAAAATTCCAGTCAAAATGTCTGCTATATGATATCCTGGACCGATATAGCCCATCTCGAACTTGACCTGCCTGCTGGTAAAAGTCTGATCTGTATAAAATTTTAGCTTCACATCTTAATTCGTTTTCACTCTAGCGTGATTACAACGGATGGACGGACTGACAGGGCTAAATCGTCCTAGAATTTTACGCTGCTCAAGAATATACATACAATGTTAGATCTAAAATTATTATTTCGAAGAGTTACAAACGGAATGATGAAGTTAATATACCCTCCATACTATGTATGGTGGAGGGTATAAAAATTTGAAATATGGGTTCCCTTTTATCTTCTCCGGAGATATCTTCTTACCACACATATTTCATCATAGTTATAAGTTCACTCCAAACACACACACACACAAACTTACATGATTACTATATTGCAGAACAACATCTGTGCTGCGTGTCGATGATGCTGAGGCCGAACGTGAATGAGAGCCACTATCTCGGGAACGTGATCTGCCGACCATGTATTTTTGTTGATTTTTGCGCGCATCCTCCCTCACCAAATAGATGTCCTCATAGTCATGGTCATGGGTATTCGATTGCGATGATGTTTTGCGAATGCTGCCATTATTTTTGATGCTACTGCTGCTGCTGCTGTTGTTGTTGTTCGTCTTGTGGTTATTCAAAAAGTTATTGGCATTTTTATTGGAATGAGTGTTGCTGTTGTTGTTGGCTGGCGCCTTGTTGTTGTTCAACACCTGCGACTGATTGTAATTCTGGCGATTGCTGTTGATGCTACTGTTGGTGTTGGTATTGTTGTTGTTATTTTGATGATGATGATGCTGCTGCTGCTGTTGTTGTGGGTGCGCCATGGGCGATTGTTGATGGTGTTGCTGTTGTTGTTTCTGTGGCGTTGGTGGTGGCTGTGGCAAATTGTTGTGACGATTGAAACTATGATTGCGATGTGCTTGTATTTTAGGCGAATTAAGGCTCGATGCAATCGATACCGACTCATCCGAACCACTGCCAGCACCACTGGAACTTGAATGGACATCCGCCTGTATGGTCAAGGCATTTGAACTGGGCGTTGAATTATGATTGGATAAGTTCTGTTTGCCTTTCGAATGATGATGACTCGGCTGCCTATGTGGATTTGAGTGTTTGACACTGCTCGAATCGGAATCGAAAAGATCACGCACCCGATTGTAGATCACCTCTTGGGGGTCGTGCAAGAAAAACGAATCTCCCGAAATGCTGCCCGTGGGCGAGGGTGGTGTATAGACCCCATTAACACGCATCGGATTCACATAGAGGCCATCGTTGTTGGGAACCAACGAGCCGTTGTACAGCTTGTCCGATGACGAACGCGAGTGCTGCGACTGGGCGGTGTAAATCGACTCACTGGCCTTGCTGCGTGCACCCATTGTCGATGGCGGATGCAAATAGAACGGTTCCTGGTCGGAGCTCATGGTCGATGATGTTTTCGATTTGATGGTGTTGCTACGACTGGTCTGTTTGCTGCTCATCGAGTTGTTGCAGCTGCCATGAGAATTGTTGTGACCCATTGACGACGAGTTATTACCGCCGCCGTTTTGATGATGATAAAGTTGTTGTTGCTGTTGATGCTGCTGTGTTGCACCATTACGTCCCGACGCTGTGGACTTGCCATGTTTCGATGTTGTATTCTTTTCACGTCCATTATTGTAGTCCACAGATGTTCCATGTTGCACCAGCACGTTCAAACACTTTGGGGTTGGACGTAGATGTTGAAGCCGGCGAAGTAGAGGAAAAATCAAATAGAACAAGTTAGTTTTGATTTTTTTTTTTTTTTTGCTATTATTAATACGATTCGATTTGAAAGTTTGAGAGCTCTTACTGGCAATGAGTTTGAGCAAACAAACATGCTTTCAAACACACAATCGCATCCAACTTACCTCAACTTGCTGATTTTCTGCTGCATCATTTATAGGCGATTTACCGTATTTGTCCAGTGATAATTTTGCACCATGACTGAGCAGCCAACGCACCACAGAGAGATGACCACGTGAGGCCGCAAAGTGCAATGGCGTGGCACCATCGCCATCACGTAAATTCGGATCAACGCCTTGATCTTGTACCTGGGAATAAAGAGTTGAAAATTAATAAATTTTTTTTCCTTAATAAAGGGGAATAGCAGGTGGTATGGAAAATATAGGTTTGAGAAGGCATGGAACTGTAAAGATATGTTTGTTAAGTTTATCTGAAAAATTGATTCCATTTTTATGAGCGAAATTCTTTCGGATTATTAAATTGTTCAAATTACTCTGGGCAAAATAAAAAAAAATATATATCTCAGAATTAAATAATTGGGGTGGACGGAAAGGTTGTTAATAGTTAAGGACCACACCGTTGGTATTTGTAATTCTGAAATTTGTCGTGGATGTCACTGTTGGTGTATGTCGTTAAGACATGCAGGTTGTTTCGGAAATGTGTACTATATTCGTACGAAAAGTACTAAATGGTATCAAATTGGATATTGGGTGAAGGGATAAGGATCCTCAAATTTAATATTGTGGACTCTATTGGTATCTGGAATTGAGATATGGAAGTGTGTTTGGAAACGCTTATTATAATTGTACGAAAAATAATAAATTAGATAATGGGTAAAAGAAAAGAACTGAAATGCTGAAATTTGATACGGATGTCATTGTTGGTGTCTGTGGTTAATATATGGTAGTTCATTCGGAAATGTGTACTATAATTTTTCGAAAAGTTCTGAGTGGTACTAAATTTAGTTTTGGTTGAGTTTAAATACCAAAAAGGCCTAACACGAAATATTAGAACGAATCTAAAGATGTATGATACATTTTTCGCTGACAAAATTGGGGGTCTTGCTAGCCATATGGCTACAGAGGCTATATATCATTTCATAGGTCCAAATCGACCCTCATCGAAATAACGGCACTGTACCCTAGGACTCTTTGGACCAAATCCGTATCGGGACATTCGGAGTCGATCTGGAAATGTTCGACCGTCGCTGGTGCGCAATATTATTATCAAACATAGATTGAGTTCTCCTAAGGATAAGGATAATCCGATTTTGCTCCAAATGTTCAAATCCTGTTTTTTGCGAAAATGGACAACATCGGTCTACTGCATCAAGTATCCGCCCCACAAATGAACAAAATTTTGAATAATTATAACTCTTATAAAATGTAATGTAAGAATCCGATTATTTTATACCATATCACATCTTATCACACATCACAATATTTTTGTTAACACAAAATCTGCTGTGAAGAAGGAATACATGGGCCCACTCCTTCTGGTACCTCCCCCACAGAGGGTCAACATTTTGAATACCCATGAAGCTCATAAAACGTGAAATTATCATCCGATTATATTTAGACTTGCTGCATCTGAATATTTCCATCAATACAAAATAGATCGGACCATTCCTTCTGATACCTTCCCAGCATTGGGTTCGTGATTTTGAAAAACAAAACGCTCAAAGAAAGCGAAAGCGACACTCTTCAAATTTCACACAAATAAACAGTTTTGCTAACACAAGATCTGATGTAAAAATGATATATATCTGCAAACCCCTTCTGCTACCTTACCCACAAAGGACCACAATTTTCAATACTTATGTATGTCATAACTTCCGAAACAAGTTAGGGATATAAATGCTCGATTTTCTTGTAATGTTGCCCATACCAATATTTTTATCTATATAAGATGAAGTGTGAAAATGGAATACTTCGGCGATTACATCTGGTACCTGGGTAACTGGATTTAATATTTTCTAAAAATGATATCACAGATATAGTGAAGGAAGTTATCAATATTGTCCAAACCTGGCACGTGGCAATATTTATATCATATTTATTTTAGACCGCTACGAAATGGACAATATTGGCCCATTCCTTCGAAACCTACTCCATAGGGTGACACCAATTTGAATAATCATAACAGAAGTCAAAATATATTTAAATAATCAAATATTGGTTAAGGATATACATCTGTCGGCAAACCCGTCTGATACTTTTTAATTTTTTTTTAATGACTTTTCTTCTGCATTTTTTCAAGTGTAGGCATGAAAGTAATATAAGACTTCGTTTTAGAATAAATGTGTCAGAATGAAATATTCTGCAGTCTTAGAATAAGCTATTAATCTAGATATAATTGTTTTTAAGAATATTGCCTTTACAAGGCTAAATGTCATTCCCAGTGGCTAAAAAAGGGAATGCGTAAACTTAATCATCAGATATATGAAAAAATTTCACATAGAAAAAATCGCTACAAATATTCCTATTATGTCATCATTATTTCTAGGCATTTTTACGGAAAAAACTTGGATACAATAACTTATATTTCTGAAATTCTGTATTTGGAATTTTTGGAAAAAATAGTGGTGATAGTTTTAAATGTGAGCAAGAGTGAATTTCTGTGCCAACACATCCCAGCTAACAATTTTTTCCGAGGGCTCTGATGTCCGATTTTTTGTCGAGATTTTCAGACGTTTCTTCAGAAAAGTTTCCGAGTAATCTGCACATACTCGTTTCTTTTGTTTTGTTTGAACAAAACAAAGCAAAAGAGAAAAAAAAAACATCGTATACAGAGAGTTAACTCTTTTTTGGCGAGAATTTCTAATGTTACTCCAGAAAAGTTTCCGAGTAATCTGCACATACTCGTTTCTTTTGTTTAAAAAAAAAAAAAAACACAAAAATTCTGACATTAGCAGAGAGTTAACTTTTTTCTGTTGAGATTTATTTTACCGTTCCTTTCGAAAAGTTTCCGAGTACTCTGCACATGCTCGGTTGAAATTATTTGAAGAATTTTGTGTATACAACTTTTTTGTTTTTTTTGATTATGATCAGTTTGTCGTCAGAATTTGTACGGAGCACGAGTGCAGTGTGTTGCAGTGAAAAGTTAAAATGAAAATTAAAGGAAGATTTGGACCTTCAGTACCTTATGGTAAGTAAGCACCTTTCTATAATTACTACTTTTATTAATATCTTGAATTGTTTAGCTACGCCGTTTAAAAAATCAACGCCATGACAATGTAAACACTTTTACATATGAAAATTTTAGACTTATTTTTCAAACTGGCGAGGTCAACGTTTTCGTGGCACGAAATGTACCAAAATACAGCTGTAAAGGACATCTAATTTATTAGGCTCGTTAAAGGTTTGTATCCTTGTGTTTTAAACGCTTTGATAATATAAATAATATTTTTTTCATTTTTATTACTTAGATGCGGCATTGGAACATATTCCGGAAACTATGGGAAGTGCCATATAAACCCATATAAAACATTTCTTCAAATCGGCTAAAGATAGGCTTAACAAACCTTAACCTGGGCCAAAATCGAACTCAGTCAACCTTAAACTCCTTTGTTCATCTGAGAATAAGCCAGCCGATGACTTGAGCCAGCCAAATATGCGCTTTATATATTTCCACCCTTAATTATATTGATTTACATTGAATTGCAACTTTTTTTGTTTTTTATATATTAATTTCCGTATTCCTTATATTTTACAAAAAAAAAAAAAAACTGAATACAAATGTTCTGTCATTAAATTGAAAAATACAAACATAAACAATTATCTAAAAACTAGATAAAGTTTTATTATTTCTTTATGTTTTTCGATTACAACTATAAAATAAATGTAGATTTTTTTGCGAATTTCGTATCAAACATCCTATTATTTTCCGATTTTCGAATGAATTATTCGAATTTTTCCCGATTTTCGGATAAAACTATAGAATAAATTCAGATTTTTTTTCCGAATTTCGAATCAAACATCCGAAAATTTTCAGAATTTCGTATCAAACATCCTATTATTTTCCGATTTTCGAATGAATTATTCGAATTTTTCCCGATTTTCGGATAAAACTATAGAATAAATTCAGATTTTTTTCCGAATTTCGAATCAAACATCCGAAAATTTTCAGAATTTCGTATCAAACATCCTATTATTTTCCGATTTTCGAATGAATTATTCGAATTTTTCCCGATTTTCGGATAAAACTATAGAATAAATTCAGATTTTTTTCCGAATTTCGTATCAAACATCCGAAATTTTTCCGAATTTCGTATCAAACATCCTATATTTCTCCGAATTTTCCTTTTTTCTTTGCCGAATTCTATACGAATTCGCCCCGAAACTCTTACGTTCTTTCAGAATTTTTTCCGCAAAATCTTTCAGAATCTTGGGCAATCTCACACAATTTTTTTCCGATTTCTTTCCGAATTCGACATCAGAGTCGGAAACTTGTGCAGAGTTTTTTTCCGAATTCGGAAGAAAATCGGAAAAAAATGTTTGCTGGGATATTACATTTCCATGTAATATACACATAAATATTGTAAATTGGTATTCATTGTTAAATGTTGCCACACTACGTCCCTTCTCTGTTGCAAATACTATGCTCCTTGCTGCTGCAGCGTCATTAATTACAGTTTAGAAAGGTGATTTGCAAGTTTTCGTTGTTGATTACACCGAGGAATATTTACAAAATTTATTGATTTTACCAGTTGCCAACAAATGTGTATCTATTAGTCCAGACACTTTATTCATTCATTAATCTTGTTAGTTGCGAAACGAGAAGATAAAAGCATGATAGCAGATTTTCTTTTTGATGCTCATCAATGGAGACAGGTTATGGGCATATAATTATGATTTCAATTTCATATAGTCTTGCTTCTCACAAGTAGATTGGTGTTTAATTATGTAATAACGAAGGATTACATAAAATGGTATATGGTTCAAGTTTGTTGAGCATTTGTAGCCACATGATGATGAGAAATAATTAACATAGTCTCAGTCGGTGTAGCAACAGGTATATAGTCCCTCGGCATTTGAGCACATTTTAATTTAAACCAAATGATTGGACCTAAATATCGCAAACTTAAATTAGATCAAATGTTAGTGCAAATATTGTAATGTACAAAGTTTGATGAGAAGAGGGAAAATTTTCGAAATCTATAAAAGTTATGATTATTATTTTCTATACGAGGTAGCGCAAAAGTAAACATCCGATGTTTTTTGGCTGTAATTTAAAAAAAAAAATTAAAAACTTTGATTCTTCTTGTGATTCTTTTAGTTTTTTTTTTTACATCCAGTCGAGAATATGATGTTTATTGTCATTTGAGCAGATCTATGGCATGTTCCATCAATTTGGCCAAAATTTCCGGCGGTAGGTCCTCACATCTTGACGGATATTGTTTTTAAGAGCTGAAATAGTGTGAAACCTATTGACATCAACCCGCGACTTCAAAAAGCTCCACAAAAGAAGTCTGGACCGGTGTGGCTAGTGCCAAAACGGGAGATTACACGACCGGGATCGATTGTGGCACATACAGTGTGTGCCGTTGCACCGTCCTGTTGGAACCACATGTTTTCCAATCCCAACTCATCAAGTTGCGGCAAGAAAAAAGTCATTGATCATAGCTTTGTAGCAGTTACCATTCACAGTAACCGTTTAACCCGCGACGCCTTCGAAGAAAAAAGGTTCGATGACTCCCCAGCGACAACAGCACACCATACAGTGATTTTAAGCGGGTGTAATGGCTCTTCGTGGTTTACACTCGTGCCCCAGAAGCATATTTATTTTTTACCTACCCGCTAAGATGGAAATGGACCTCACTACTCAAAATCATTTTTGATGAAAATCATATTTTTCTTGGTGGTGATTAAGGATGGCTCGAGCGTATTTTAGACGCGATTGGCGGTCAGCAATTAACAGCTGATGCACCATATGGACTTTGTACGGAAACATCTTCAAATCTGGTACTAAAATTCGCTGTATAGACCATCGACTGATACCCATTTGCGTGGAATGTCGTCTGGTCGATGTCGACGGCGCTTCCATGACATGTTTGGCTACAGCAGCCATATTCATATTCAGCCATATACTCCGGGGTCTGCCACGCCTGGCAACATCTTTTCTTGTGCCAGTCTCTTCGAGGCGAACGGCTAAATGTCGTAGTGTTTACCCAGTAGGCGTTGGACAGTCAGAAAATCTTCGACGAAATTCACGTTGTGCCAAAGTCACCGATCGATTATTGGTCAAATAAATATTCACCATTATTCCGCATTCTGGAACATTGTACCGTAACATTATTTTTTAACGTGTATTTCGCATATGTTTACTACAAAAATGTCAAAAAAAAACAGGCATTAGGGGCCAATCGTAAAATGTATGGCATTTTCGGACAGGAGGATTACCTTGTATTGCGCCATCTTGTATTTATGCACGATCTATTGCTATCAAATTGGGAAATGCGAGGTTTGGGGGAGAGGTTTCACAATTGACTAGTGCTGTGATTTTTCAACATTGTAACCTTCGGTTTGAGTTATGAGAAGCCATATCACGGATCAAATTTGGACTACATTGGGTACTCGATTCGTTCTAAATGAGACTATCAAACGCCCACTTTTTCGTATGCGGGAAAAGGATACCGCATACCGAAGAAGTGGACAAATATTATCCAATTCTCATCTGAAATAACTTCGTTATATATGACAACATGTCCAATTTGGACTGTATCGACTACTCCTTCATATGTGATAATTTTTGGAAAATACTGAAATATGTGTGAGGTACCAGATATATTGGACCAAAGCATTCCACTTCTTCTAATACAGATAAGGGTATGTGTAACATTTGAAGGAAATTAGTTTTTGAGAATTATTAAACTATTTTAAACTTTTGTAGGAGATGGTATGAGAATTAGTGAGCCGATAAATTCCATATTCACATCAGGCTTTTTATTATGAAAAGTATGTAGATATACCAAGTTTGAAAAGAATCTGCAATTTGTTTCGGAAGACTTTAAAATTGTGAACCCTTGTGTGATGGGTAGACAGATATCTATCATTTCCGCACCAGATCTAGCGTTGGTAAAAATATTGGAACATATGAAATTTGAAGAGAATCGGATGCTTATATCCTTTTTTATGAGAGATATAATTATTCAATACAATACAATGGGTCAATATTGTCCATTTCGTATCAGACCTAAATAAATATGGTATTAATATTAGGACGTGCCACGTTCGGACTATATTGGTTACTTCCTTCACTTTATATGAGATTTGTGATAATTTTTAGAAAATATTTAAATGTGCAAAATTAAAAGAAAATCGAACATTTATATACAATTTTATTCGAAATCATAAATTCATATTCTTCTCAGGTTTCTGGTTGAGAGAAGTATTTAGATACATCAAGTTTTAAAGAATCGCTGACTTGTTTCGCAAGTTATGACAGATAAAGGTATTGAAAATTGTGACACTTTGTGGGTGAGGTACCAGAATGAGTGGACCAATATATATCATCTTCACAACACATGATGTGTTAGCAAAGATGTTTGTATGTGTGAAATTTGAAGAGAGTTGATTGCTTATTTCGCTTTCTTTGGGCGTTTTGTTTTTAAAAATCTTGAATCCTATGTGTGGGAGGAACCATAAAAAAATGGTCCGATGTCCACCAACTTTATAGTAAATTTTGTAGTGATGGAAATATTGAGATCTACCAAGTCTGAATGGAATCGGATGTTAATTTCGCGTTTTATGAGTTTCATGGATATTCAAAATGTTGACCCTTTGTGGGGAAGGTACCAGAAAGAGTGGACGGATATGATAAATCTTCACGGCAGATCTTGTGTTAACAAAAATATTGGGATTTGTAAAATTTGAGAAGAATCGAATATTTATGTCGCATTTTTTAAGAGTTATACTTATTGAAAATATTGACCTTTTGTGTGGGAGGTACATGATTGAGTGGGTTAATATTGTCCATTTTTGAACCTCACATAGCACCAATACTTATATTGGGAATTGCAAAGTTTGCACAAAATTGGATGATTCTTTCGTGTTCTTTATCGCAATTTATTTTCTGTAAAAATTATGACCTTTTGTGGGGGAGGTGCCAGAAGAAGTGGATCGATATTGCCCATCTTCGAACTCGAACTAAGTTTTAAATAAATATTACGATGTACCAAGATTGGATCAAATCGGATACTCCATTCGTGAATTATCGTGCGCACCTGCCAGAAAGCCAGACGGACATATTTCCAAAAACACTGTCTTGTATCAACACTAGTTAAAGCTCATCAAATTTCCAAATTCTACCTCTATCCGTTTACAAAATTCCAAATGGTACCAACCAGTGAATGATAGTACTTTTTTAACACTTATTTTTATACCCTCCACCTTGGAATGACAAAGTTAATATACCCTCCTTATATTAACTTTGTCATTCCGTTTGTAACATCCTTAAATATTCGTCGTAGATCCCATAAAGTATATATATTCATAATCAGCATAAAATTCTAAGTCGATTTAACGATGTCTGTCCGTCTGTCTGTTGAAATCACGATACAGCCCACATTATTTGACGTATAGCGCCAATTTGTATTGTGTCTAGGATGGTTGGTATTGAAAATGAGATATATCGATCCACGTTCTGGTATAGTCCCCATATAACGGTACCTCCGGATATTCGGTATTTTGATGGTTATTGACACATTTTTTCACGGATTTGTCTGAAAATTGGTATTTGTAGGTCATAATGGGATCTGGCGAAACATTGCATGTGTAGGTCCACGATTTGGTATAGCCCCCATATAATGGTACCTCCCGATATTCGGCATTTTAATGGTTTTTGCCACGTTTCTTCTAATGTTTCCTTTACCCTAAGGTGGAGGGTATTCAAAGTTTGACCCGGCCGAACTTAATGTTTTTTTACTTGTTGAATTTCCAAATACCCTTTGGTTTGTCTATCCTACACCACATCAAAGACTTACATTCCAAATTTTAGAATTACTTTTTTATACCTTCCCGTTTAGAACTTTTTGTAAATTCTTGTACGTATTTCTATATTCACTCCTATACTTCAAATGCATTAGCCAACAGAGACCTCAATATCAAATTTCATGATTTCAGCACATTAATTTCCCCCATTACCAAAATTAGCACTTTTCCTATAATTATAGTTCACATTTCCAAAAACACCTCCATACCTCAATTCCAGATCCCAACAAAGATCCCAATATAAAATTTCGGGATTTCAAGCCTATCCCTTCACCCAATACTCAATTCAGTACCATTTAGAACCTTCAGTACTTTTCGTACAAATATAGGACACATTTCCAAACCAATGTCAAACCTCAAATACGGATATCATCAACAATCTAAATATCAAATTTCAGAATTATATCTCTATCTCTTCATCCAATACCAATTATAGTAAAATTCAGTATTTTTCGTACAATTAAAGTATGCTTTTCGGAAACCATCTCCTTATCATATATAACCCATCTTCGAACTTTTCCTGCCTGCACACAAATGGCAGATCGGTGCACAATTTTAGCTTATTATCTTTACACGTTTCGACGCATGACGTGGTTACAATAGACAGACGTATGGGTAGGGCTAAATCGTCTTAGAATATTACGTTGATCAAGAATTCTGTATTCTTTATAGTATGAAGGGTATATCATAGTATGAAGGGTATATCAAGTTTGTCATTCCGCTTGTAACACATCGAAATATACATTTTAGACCCCACAAAATGTACCGATCAGCATAAAATTCCATGTCGATTTAGCGATGTCCGTCTGTGGAAATCACTGTAGCTTCCGAACGAAAGGAAGTAGGTTAATAGTGTGTTACTCAAATGTATATTATGTCTGTAGGACTTTTGATACTGATTTTGGTTATTTTGGAGATTTAAGCGACATAATTCACCAGAAATGTTTCAAATTTAATAATTGAAGTTCGTAATGGATGCTACAGCCTATGACAGAAAATTGTCCGTGCAGGTCCACGTCTTCGTATAGCCCCCATGTAATGATACATCCCGATATTCGATAGTTTGTTGATTTAGCGACAATGTTCACCAGAATTGTTCCAAATTTAGTATTTGAAGTTCGTAATGGATAATACAGCCTCTGACGGAAAATTGTCTGTTCAGGTCCACGTTTTCGTATAGCCCCCATATAATGGTACCTCCCTATATTCGGTATTTCGATGGTTTTAGCTACATTATTCACCTAATTTTTTCTTCAAGCTTCGTCGTATATGTCCTAATATAACAGCATTCAGTATTTTTACGATTTTAAAAGAATTTTTAATGGATTTTATTTTATTTTACTTTTTTTTTTTATTGTCAAATTCGTTCCAAATCGTGGAGGGTATTCAAAGTTCGGCCCTGCTACAGCTTTTTACTTGTTTAAGTATAAAAGTATTATTTTGATGAGTTACAATCGAAAAGACGAACTTAATATACCCTCCATACCATGTATGGGGTAGGGCATAAAAAGTTAGCATATTTAGCATATTTTACAAAACAACTAAAAATCTTTCTTACCATCCATTTAACACAATCCAAGCATCCCATTTGTGAGGCGGCATGTATCGGAGCCATGCCATCGCGGGCCCGTACATATAATGAGCCGCCAGCTTCTAATACCAGAAATTTAAGAACCTCCAAATGACCCTCTTGTGCTGCCAGGTAGACTGGTGTGACATCATTGTCCATTTGCGTATTGGCGCTGTAAAGATGAAGCAGAAGCAGAGGAAAAAACCAACAAATTAATACAACATAAAAACTGATTTGAAAAAGGAAATACACATAAAAAACGTTACGACGGAACAATTAACGGTGGCTAAGATTGTTGAGTGTTGCATGAGATCGATCGTTGGATTTAAAACAAGTTGTGTGTCGCACAACAACTTATTTGTTTAATTACCGATGTTGTTGCAGCAAATTATTTGGTTTCACAGATATTTCATGTTTTTCGATAACGGCTAAGAAAACCAAAAAAAAAAAAAAAAAACAACAAGAACTGCAATGTCAACAGGTTTGTCATTTTTGGATAACATCTGGCAGCCATATTTAACCACCATTGTTGTGCTTTTTCTTAGATTTTTGTGTTCTAATTGTTATAGTTTAAAACATTTTTGTGTTTCCATTTTTGTTTTCGTGTTTGGAAAACTGCAACGACAACCACGCATCACCAACATCTGCCAACAACTGGTTGCCTAGTTGGTTACCCTCGTTGGATGCTGATCTATCTGTGCTGCGTGTGTGTGTTTGTGTTTATCTCTCTGTTGCATTCAATGTTCCGTTGGAGTTCTACATTTTCTGCAGGATGCATTTAGAAAGTAAAGTCGTGGTTGGCATTTTCATTTGGGGTAACGGTATTGCCAATGAAAGTTTGTCTGACTTTATCGCATAAATCGTTTGAATGTTATTTCCATATAAAAATAATGCATATGGATGTGAAGCGAGTTTGTTTCCTAAGTCTTTTGTTTTTTTGGGGGGGATAAACTTGTTTGCAGTTTATTTTGGGGGAAATTATGTCGTTGTATTTTTTTTTTTTTTTTGTTCCTACATTTGCTTTTGTCATTGTAAGGATCTTGAATGGATTTTTTCAAAATAGAGTCATATCCAAGAATAAATTTATTGGAAATATAACATGGCAAGTCACACAAAAACCAAGTCTAAGCTAAGGTGGGGATATTTGGTCTGTTAAGAATATTTTGGTAGAAAAGTTATTTTGGCATTTAAAGACATTATTCAAGAATCGCCAGTTCCAGAGATTCCTTGTTACCAAACACTGCAGCACCGGAATGTAGTATTCTACATTGTAACCAAAGATTTAAATTGATAATAAAACCAGTAAAGAAAGTCCTAAAGTCGGGCGGGGCCGATTTTATGATACCCTACACCACTTTGCTAATTTAGTTAAGCTCCACATAACAAGTAAAAGTTTTTATGGGAGAATTCAATCATACACCCTATGATTATAATTATAAATTAAAATTTAAAGGACTAAATACGCCGAAGCATTTGTATCTTTTAAGTTCGGACTTGTATTGCCCATTTGGTGCAAAATTAATTCTAAATCAGATAAAGATATATATGGGAGCTAAATCCAAATCTGAACCGATCTCGATAAAATTAAGCAAAGGTATTTCTGAGCTGTATTTGATATATTTCCCCAAATATTGTTGTTACAGAGTGCATATTACGGCTGCGGAGGACAAAAATAACAAATCGGATGAACAATATTTATGGGAGCTATAGCTATATCTGAACCGATTTCCATCAAATTTGGCATGTTTATTTTTAGGCCTAATTTGGTTGCATGTGCAAAATTCCATACTATTCAGGCTGATATTACACGTTTGGTGCACAATAAAAAGCAAATCGGACGAAGATATATATGGGAGCTATATCTAAATTTTTACCGATTATCTCCAATTTCAATAGGGTTCGTCCTTGAGCCAAACAAATGTCGTTTGGAAAATTTCATCTCAATCGGATAATAAATGCGACCTGCATTTTGTTCACAAAAATACACGGACAGACGGACGGACGGACGGACGGACGGACTGACATGCATAAATCAACTCAGAAAGTGATTCTATGCAGATCATCAAAAGGAACTATGGGTCTATCTCGTTTCCTTTTGCCTGTTACAAACAAATGCACAAAGACATAATATCCTGACCACCTTGTGGTGTAGGGTATAAACATCACAATTTCCTGAAATAAAACTTTGATACGAATCATATATGACCATGTTTTTCAATTTTAAAAAAGTACGGAAAAGTTAATTCGGATTGAGGATATATATACAGGGCGAGGTAAAAAAAACTGCAACAAAGTCAAACTCTATAATTTTAACATTTTCCTTTCTAAATGTTATTGAATGAAAGCAAAAAATGTCGGAAACAGCATCAACTTTTAGAATAACTTTATATTTGTTCGAATTGGTCACCTTCGGCACGGCCTTCAAACGGCAAATGAAACCGTCACACGCTGCCCGACTGTTGCTCTGCGACATTTTGGCCTATTCCCGGCCACCCTCTTGCTTGAGGTGATCGACACTTTGTTATTTTTTAGTGCCAACCTTGCTTTCCAAAATACTCCAGACACAATAGTCCAACGGATTGGTATCCGGAGATTGGAGATTTTGGTGGCCATTGAGCGCTGGAAATGAAGCGAGCAACCTCATTTTGTAACCATTCTTGGGTGGCGCGTGCTGAGTGCGATGGTGCTGAGTCCTGTTGGAATGTCCAAGGTCTGCGGCCAAAATGTTTGCGTGCCCAAGGCTGTAATAAACATTACAGAATATTTTCGCCATAATATTCGGCATTTATTCTGATGCCACGGTCGATTAATACAAGCGGAGAGCGACCATAGGCTGTTGTGACGGCCCACGACCGGAGCTTGAGTTCTGGTGGCCAAACGAAGGTGCACATTTTCAGCTGACCACTTTGACAAGTAAACACGATCAATTTGTTTGTTTACAAATTGCTGGACAACGGAGAAAACCAAAATTCGGCAGTTCACCACATTCGGCCAAGCGAAGCAACTTATTAGCTCTTTTGAGTCTATTTTCCTTCTGTTGCGGTGTAAGTTTTTGCACGTTTTGGAATTTCAATGGCTTTACCCCGTGCTCATTTTTCAATATTTGCCATTTTTCGGCCACTGCGACGCGAGTTTCGATCAAGTCGTTTCTTTCCTTTTCTATGACGTCGGGCTACGCTATCAGTATCACGGTAACGAGCGATGATACGAGACACAAAAGATTTATTCACATTTAAATGCTGGAGTGCTCTAACGATAGCCACTTGTGGTTTTCCAGCCTAATATAAAGAAATCACACTATCACGCTTGAATTCCATCACGAATAACTTTTTTTCTGGAAAATTCTCCCCAAAATGCTTTTGTACGCTTGAAAAAAACATTATGAGCAGTCACTGGAATAATTTTAACAGCTGTCGGACCGTTGGCTTCGAAATGACAGCAGTCTGAAATTGGTTGCAGTTTTTTCATCTCACACTGTATGAAATTTTCGTATTTTTACATAAAATTTATGGTATATTTTACCCGCTAAATATTGTCTAAATATTACCAGCTCTAAACTCTAGCTCGATTCTAAGTTCCGCGTCGATTGGTCTATATTTGCGACCTGTAGAACAACTGAAAAATCAGGAAATTTTTCAGTTTTTGGTTAATTTTAAGACCTAAATATTATGCCTTCATCGCCTTCTATTCTGACCCATCCATTTCCAATTTCGTGAGGATAGGGTTTGCAAATTAACATAGACAGACGGGCGGTCGGACATACATAGCTAGATCAGCTCAACTCGGCAAGAGATATAGTTTCCAATGTCGGGGACCAATATTTCGACGTGTTAAATAATTTTTGGGCCAATCAAAATTATAATAACCCCAACACATAGTATGTAAAATAGAATAACGGTAAAGTGAAATATAACTACTAAAAAAATGCCTTTTTTCTTTTTTTTGTCGATTCTTATTGACCAGGCGACATGTCCGTGTAATAATAATGGGTTATAAGTAGTTAAAATTATGAAACTTGAAAAGGAATCACATTATTTGTTAACCGAGTTTTTTTCTGGGCAGAACTACAAAAACTCAAAATTACACATATTTGATATAATAAATATACAAAATATGAGTATTCCAGGTAGTATCCCTTGTGGGTGTTGGTGTACAATTGCACAAATAGGTCCACGTCTTCGTGTAGTCCTCATATAACGGTAACTCCGTATATTTGTTATTTTTATGATCTTAGCAGCATTTTCAACGGATATCTATTTCTGAAAATTTGCAAATTTCATCCAAATGGAAGAGGATATTCAAAGTTCGGCCCAGCCGAACTTACCTCTTTTTTACTTATTTCTACTTCGTTTTGTTAAAACAAGTGGTTTATGTCTTCGCTAATTAATTTGAATTTATCAGAATAGACCTCCCATTATCATAATATCAGTATTAAGAAAATTTTTTGTTAGCTCAAATTTCCAAAATATCCAGTTTCATGACAAATTTAATGATTTAACTGCTTCGTCTGGGCGTTTTTATTAATAGTCAATGAATAGTTTTTTTTTAACATATAAAAATAGAACATATAAAAATAGCAAACACTGAATGGGAAAATAACAATACATGGTTTTCAGCAAATGCCGATATAATTTTATTGTCTGTATATCAATCAGATCAAATTTAGCGTAGCTTCATTAAAATAGCAGCCATTGTGAAAACCCCGTTCAATTCAGGACCCAATATTTAACTACTTCATTGACATTTAGTTTTAAATAAAAATGTATAATCTACAAAATATGCGGAAATTATCTCACCTAACAACATTACGGCGATTATTTTGCTCCTTGCGGACACCGCTTAAATGTGTCTCTTTGGCATTGTCCCCCTCATCCTGTTCGTCCAATGGATCATCCATTATTTCAGCTAAATCCGATAGATCGTCGCTCGAAGATCGCCGTAAATTGCCAATATTATCGGCGATATTATTCGATGAACTACCGCCGATTTCATTGATCATCGAACAGATATCGGAATTTGATTTACTTTTTGTTTTGCCGCGACGATATGAGGCCAGGCTGGTGGTCATTCTGCCGAGCAGACCTTTTTTGACGCTGATTGTTGAAAAATAACTGAGTAGATGTACATATGAAAAGAGCACACGCCCACACAGATACGCAGAGAGAGAGAGAT